ATCTTTCAAATGGTTTGTGGTTGAGCTGCTGGAGGAGTATTGGTTGAGGTGATTGTTGGGCTGCTGCTGTACTGTGAGTATCCCTGTAGGCACAATAGTAGGTAGCAGCATCATGCGGAAGACATCAATACATCCTTTGGAGACATTCAGGACCTTCTTGGACTCTTCCCCCTGTAACCTCTCTAGGGAATCTGCTTTAGCAGGGAGGACGGACTGGATGATGTCCAGAGGTCCCTTCCAGCCCTTTATTGTTTGTGATTCTCTACATCCATGCAGTATTTGCTCTGGGTAGCAGCTGATAGCAGATGAGAAGGCTGGGGCAATGAGACAATAACAATCCTGTGGTTCAGACTGAAGTTGAAGTTGAGTGTTTGAAGGAGTTTTGTGGCTTGGTGGCCTCTGAGCATCTATCAAGGTGAGGGTCCCAGTAGGCACAGTAGTATGTAGCAGCATCGTCTGGACTTACATCATTTATTGTAAGAATACACAGATTTCGACTAGAAACTTTATCAACCATGTACTTCTTCCCTTGAAAGCCACTTTCAACTGTAGTTTTCCCTGCTGCAAAGAAGAGTAGCCTCTCTGGAGGTTTATTCTCTTTCATTTGATACCAGTGTATGACGGTGTTATCAAAACGTCCTGGTAATTTCTTCATTTCACAGAACATACGTGCACTTTTCTGGTACTTGGTGATGGATATAGGGCTCTGTATAGGAATTTCCTGTGCAAATCCATCTGCAAGAGACAAAATGGGTAAATGATGTTATTAGCAGAAATTCAGGGATTAGGAAAATTGTTAGTGCAGCAAAGGGCACCCTATGAAGGAAACAAAAGAAAAAGGACTTACAAAACCATGCAGCTGTGGCCATAAGAACTGCCAGCATCAGCATGTTTGCTGCTCCCACTCAGCTGCTGTTGAGACTCAGTGGAGAATGCAAGGGGCCTTGGATGGAGGCTGCACTGAGTGGGAGGAGAAATGTCCAGTGATGGTTTTTTCTGTGCATAACAATGCAGGGCTGTGCTGGCAGAAAATTCTTGGCAGCCTGAGAACGAGTAAGGCTAGCAGATGCTCAGGTTGGCCAGAAAGTTGTCACAATATCCATTTTTCATACAAATGTAATTGCTAAATGGAAGGACTTGCAACTTGTTAAGAGCTGCTGAGAAAGGACTGAGAACAAGAGCAGCTCCATCTGGGCATCAGGTGCAAAGCTGCCAGTCTAGAGGCCACCTTGGTGGGCAGTACACATGTGCCATCATATGCAGGGGGTCAGAGGTATGCCTTCATCCCATGAGAGACCTCATTGTGGTGCCCCAGCTTGCTCACCCGTCTAAAGTGGAGCTAATGTCTAAACAATAGCTACTGTCTAAGTTTTGCACTGAGGATTTCTAACACAGCAAGTCTTCTAGTAGGCAGAATTACAAATGACACTTTGTGGTGCCTATTGCAAGAAGACACATATCAGGGTTCCAGGAGGAGAGTATCCACACTGGAACTTTATTCTCCTTCTGTTGATACCAGTGTATGAAGGTCTTGTTAAAATTTCCAGAGAAGTCTTTAAAATGACACTTCAGCTGTATATTTCCTTGTGACTTGGTGATGGATACAGGTCTCTGTGTGGCAGTTTTGAAATTATATTATTCATTACCAACCTTGCACTTGGAAAGGTATCTTTTTAGAGATTTAACATCCCATCTCCTTTTCAGGGAAATGCAAGAACTATTGCTCTATCCAAGGACTTGAATTTTGTGTAAGAGCTACTGAGAAAGGATTGAGAGCAAGAGCAGCTGGGCATCAGGTGCAAGGCTGCGAGCTGAGAGGACACCCTGGTGGGCACTGCATGTGCGCCGTCGCTCAGAGTGAATGGGAGCTATGTCCTTTTCCATGTGGGACCCCCTTCAGCTGCTCCAGCATGCTCACCCATCTCCAGCACGAAGAAATGCTCTCTGCACACACTGCCCTCTGCTGAAGAGCCGGTAGGTATCAGCTTCCAGCAACAGGCAGCAGCACCGTGAGCGTGTGCCCTGCCTTTGAT